GGGGGGGGGGGGGTGGTTAAAATGTTTATGCCACCCGTGGTAGGATATGGATATTTTCTGGAATCACCCAATCAAATGGTATACTCGAGAAATTAAGATTAAAAAGGCTCAGGAAATTATTATCTAGAATTTTGACATATCACGCATGAAATTATTTCCTAATATCACTTGTCACCATTTGATGACCCATACAAATTCAGGGAATTTTTGGGGAAACATTACCTTCCAAGCATGATACGTTCCAGATGGATCAGTCTGATAGAGACGTGGTGTACCATCATCATCAAATCCAACAATAAGGGTAGAAATACCAAAAGGCCGCCGACCATTGCTCTGGGTATAACGCTGAAATAAACAGAAAATGAATTGAAGTCAAAATGTTGTGCCAGTGAGCGGAGAAGAAAAAAAACAAAACAAAAAAAAGAAATATGAAAGTAAGTAAACAAAATTGAAATATGAAGGTAAAAAAGAAACTATCTGAAAAAAAAATGTAAAAAGACAACGTTTCCCACACCGGGAATCGAACCCGGGCCACGGCGGTGAGAGCGCCGGATCCTAACCACTAGACCATATGGGATTTACACACTTTATGAGCGAATTTTACATATATAAACAGTTCTATCACGTGTTCACCGTCAACTACAAGTTGAATAGTTTGAAACATTTTCTCACCAAAATAAACAGTATTTTTGTACCAAAGCAACGAAGATTACTTAATGTACCTGTTTTAGTGTTGCAATATATCTTGTAATGTACTCTAGAGTTACAGGATCTTCTACGGTTAGCTTGTGGCTTTGACACTCCACTCTCGCTCTGTTCACTAAAATTCTGGCGTCCGCCGTCAAACCTACAAAGATCAGGACAAAAAACCTAAACGAAAAGCCTTCTTTGTTGCTTTTAGGAAATATTTCATTACCTGCAAAAGCCATCACAACGTGGTCATCCAGTGAACAAATTTTTCGGACGGTTCGCGGTTCTTGAAGTTTGGCGACCGCCTTTCTCTCTACTCCGAGAACGACAATGTTTTTACCCCGAACTCCAACCTGAAACATAAGATTTCAGTATGTTTGAATTTAAAGCAAAATAAAAAAAAGACAAGTACCAAAGCGTTTTTGTACGAAAACTCCGCAGAGATCAGAAGTATGAAGAATTTTTTACGCACAGCGGTAGAACCTTTCTTCACGGCTTCTTGTGCATATTCCACTTGAAAAAGATGCCCGTCAGGTGAAAATATGGTTATCGCTCTATCGTACGAACCTCCTGACATTCTGTTTAG